AAAGTTTTGGTTTAAGTATTTCAGTTGTGCTACTGTAATCCCAGGTGATAAAGGAACAAGTGTCTGGGCAGAAATTAGAAAGGGAGCAGCGTCACCTAGTGGTCAATATGGAGTGTGGGGGCCATTGCACAAACTTTGGAGGGGGAAGAGAGGAATCTGAAAGCCCAGTGGTTCCTGGGCCCCTTGCACATTTACAAGGACAACTGCTTCCTCCGCTGCTTCTGGATTTTAGAGACTGTAAAGCTGAAGCTCCGAAAGAAGATGTGCTGTGTTTCTCATTGTTAACTTCAGTCGTTTTAAAACAAGTTTTCAAAGGTGCATTGAAAATATTGTCTATAGGGCTCTCCCTGGTGATGCAGCAGGTTAAAGCGCAGCACTGTAAGCTAGGCACAGCTGCTTCAGCATGAGTTTGATCCCTGCCCCGGAGGTGACCCACACGGCTCGGCAGACCTCTCCTGACCCCCCCAGCTGCTCCCCTCAGCAGTGTACTTCGTCGATCTGCCTGTTCTGCTCCCCACTCTGTCTCTGGTGAATCCTCTCACTGCCCCTGCACCTCTGGCCTGTACCCCAGTTCTGGATGCATAAATAAATAAATCTTAGAAAAATAAGATATTGCTCTATAATACTGTGTTCGTAACCTACGCGGAGGGGAGGGGCATGGCCTGCTGCGAGCATTCTGATGAGCTGACGGTACTGTGGACGGGGTTGCCGGCTCGCTGGCTCTGTGTTTTCTAGGTCAGTCACTGAGCGGTTTCTGAAGACCAGGGATCTGTGGCATCCTGTTTTTTTGCATGAGATACCAATGTGATCTGCTTGATTAGCCAAGGTTAGGATTACATGGTGACTTTGGACTTTGTCACTGTCAGGTAGGCAGTCATGCTCAGCAAAAGGCCATGTCAATTTTTAAATTTATGTATTTATTTTTTAAGACTTATTTATTTATACATACAGACTGGGGCACAGGCCAGAGGTGCAGGGTTAGTGAGAGGATTCACCAGAGACAGAGTGGGAGCAGAACAGGAAGATGTACTCAAATACACTGCTGAGGGGAGCAGTGGGTGGGTCAGGAGAGGTCTGTCATGCCATGTGGGTCACCTCTGGCTGGGGATTGAACTTGTGCTGAAGCAGCTGCCTCTAGCTTCTTATGCTGTGCTTAAACCCATTGCGCCACCTGGGAGGGCCCAATTTTTTTATTTTAAATTGACTGCTGTGGAAAAATTATTGCTGGAATAGTTAGTACTCACAGATGTGGGTATTCACAAGCACGTGGATGTGTGTCCTTTTGCATAATTCTGTGTTTCTGCAAATAGCTTAAGGAACAGTGAGGAAGCATGTACTAATATGTCCATTTGGACTTTTTCTTATAAATCAGAGTTTTCTGACAAGCCTTTATAAGGGCTCAGTCTGCGGGGGCTGGCAAAAATACAGGTATCCCTCACTTCCTGAATTCTCACCAGCTGAAGATTACAGGCAGTTTCACTCCAAATTGTTTCTGATAATAAATCTGCATGTTCCCATGAGTCAGAATGGGTATGTTAGCTTCTGTCTGGACCAGGAGCTCAGAGGGTACTGCAGACTAGCTCAGACCTTTTCCAGATAGGCTGCATCCTGAGCTCCTTGCTTACATCAGCTATACATTACAGCTTACATTAGCTATACATTACAGCTACCGTCACATTGCTAAGTGCCCTGTCTACATCTTCCTCTACCCCTTCCTCCATTCATAGGTTGAAATCATACATCTCCAAAGTGCCTCTATTAAGAGGTAAGGCCTTTGGAAGGTGATTAAATCATTAAGATAGCTCCCTTATGACTGGAGTTAATGTTGTTATGAAAAGACCCTAAAGAGGGGTCCTCCCTGGTGGTGCAACGATTTAGGGCAAGGTACAGCAGTGCAAGCTGGCCGCAGCTGCCTCAGTGTGAGTTTGATCTCTGGCCTGGAGGTGACCCACATGGTGAAGCAGACCTCTTCTGACCTGCCTGCTCTCCTCAGCAGGCAGATCTGCCTGTTCTGCACCCCACTCTGTCTCTGCTAAATGCTCTCACCACCTCTGCACCTCTGGCCTGTACCCCAGTTCTGTATGCATAAATAAATCTTAAAAAAAAAAAGGAAAAAAAAAAAAGGACCCTAAAGAGCTTCTAAGCCCCTCCCACCATATGAGGATACACTGAGTAAGTACTGACAATGAGCCAGAAGAGGGGCCTTCACCAAGGACAATCATGTGGACATCATGCTTGGACTTTAAAGATTCTGGAACTGTGACATATAATTTCCCATTGTTTAGAAACTGCCTGATCTGTGCTGTTTTGAAATAGCAGCCCAAGTGGACTAAGACATTAAGTAAAAGTGTTTTCTTAGAAATTGATCCTGCTGGGCCTCCCTGGTGGTGCAAGGGGTCTCAGCACTGTGAGACTGTGTTCAATCCTGTAGCATGTGTTCAATCACCAGCCAGGGAGCTGACCCACAGGGCACAGCAGACCTCTCCTGTCTTGCCCGCTGCTCCCCTCAGCAGTGGATTTCAGACAGTCCACCTACTCTGCTCCCCATTCTGTCTCTGGTGAATCCTCTCGCCCCCCAAACATCTGACCCACATACAAGCTCTTGTATGCATAAATAAAATAAATTTTAAAAAGGAGAGTTGGATATGTTTCTGGGAGGACGTAATTCAGTCCCTACATAAATAACGAAGAAATCATTATATTTTCCAAATGAAAATGTAGAGGGTGGCATTGAGCCTGTGGATTTCACAATCTTATTGGGTGATTCTTTTCAGCAGTGTAGTTTGAGCATTACCAGGTTAAATTGTGGAAGAGGGTCCAGATTTTAAAGATGCTTTAGGATTTTACTGGAGCAATACAGTTTGTCTTTCTGCTATTTATCCCCCTCGTGACTTGCTTTCCCTACTTCCCCTAATACAAACTAGAATCATGAGGAAAAGTAGAATAACAGATCTCCATGAACAAACCCGAGGCTGAATTGCTTTCTTGTAGTATGGGTGGGTAAATTGCCTAAGGCGGCAAGTTTGGGGCCACTGATAGTTCTCATGCAATGGGGTTTTCCTCATCACTAGCACAGGGGGGCTATTTACACTTAGTTCCCTTCAGAAGCCTCTTCCTTGACTGTGGATGGTGGAAAAGACTAGATCAGAAAAGTAGGAAAAGCCAGTGTCAAATGCATACTGTTTAAAGATATATGTTGACTTTTTTACTTTGTTGCATTAATTTTAGTTTATTAATACATATTTTTAAAAAGTAGCATTGCTTTACATTTTTATAAATCTCTCTAATGCCCAGGTTTATGCAAGAAGCTGGGTGCTCCTATGTCTTTACATTCAATACATTCTATATTGTTTTGGTTGAGCTATGTATGAAAATTTAGTTTCACATAGATAATCTTAGAGTCTCAGAAAGGGTGTCAGAGGCTCCCAGAGACCTTTCAGAGAATGTTTTGAAAACTGTTGTCCTAAAGTTTGTAAAATGGAATATCAAGGATCTCTCTTTCTCGCTCGCTCTCTCTCACACATGTGTGTGCACATATATGTGGTATGTATGTTCTTTCCCAGGTAGTCTGCATATACCAATTCACATTTCTACTAGCAGTGTATGAGGGATATCTCTGGCATTGTGCACTTTAGAAACTGTTGCCTAAGTGTTGGGGGGTAATGTGTTGCATTGTGATCTTAATCTCATCCATTGTTTGGATTGCCATTTTTCATATGAAGAAATAGAAGAGTAATGTTACTTACCCAAAGAGTTAGGAAATAGGACCCATGTTTTTGACTTTGGAAATCAGTTTTCATTTCACCCACAGACACAGTTCATGCTTTTGTTTCTGGCCCAGATCACAGGAATCTCCAGACTACCCCAAATCTCTTCTTGTGTTCCTCGCAGTACCCCACGCTGTGGGAGGTACACGCGGGGCTGCTAGAGGTTCAGCAGAGCAGTCTTGTGTCTCCCCCAACTCCTGCACCCACCCAAACCTCACTTCCCTGCCTGGCTCCTGCCCACACACCTCTATTTTCTTCTCATAAATCTACCCACCTTCTGCTGATCATTTTGAAGTGCAAAAACGTCATCACAGTCATTTATTAAACAGGGAATAATGCTTAATTCATGTTTACATGTAGGAGAATGACACCCATCATTTAAGAAATCAACACCTGTTAGCTACTATGAATGTTACTATAATTTTCCAGGCACTGTGAAACAAACCCAGTGATGAGATCACAGGTAAGTTGCTCTTTTTTGACCCTCAGTTTTCTCAGCAATAAAATAGGGACGCTAATACCTACCTTAGAGGATTATCTGAAATACATAATATATGCAGTGTGATTAGCACAATGCCCGATGATAGGGAGTACCTCATACGTGTGTATTTTTATTTAACGTGTTTATTTTTATTTACTCTTCCCATTATTTTTCCCCAAATGCTGAAGCCTTGTAAATATCCTCTAGGATGGATAGTGTTACTATCCTTATTTTACACATGCAAAAATGAAGCAGAGGGGTGAAGCAACTGGCGCAGTGTCACACAGCCGGTAAATAGTAGAACAGGGATTAGAACTCCCGCGGTCTGCTAGCCCTAGAATTCACGCTTTTTGCTGTTTACCCCAAATGCCAGCTCTTATTTATGCAAAAACATCTTGCAAAATGGAGAGTGCTCTACTACCGGTGATTGCCTGGTAGGGCAAAACGCCTTCTTCAGTCCCAGGTAGCTCCCTGAGCGCTGAGCTGTCACAGAGACAAAAGCCGGTGGAGTTGACCTTTCGCCGCACGCCCCGCCCAGATGCCCTCAAGCCACGCCCCTTGTCTGGTCCCGCCCCGCCACGCTACCTACATAGGCCCCGCCCCTCGCCCGGGCCACGGCGGCAGGGCCGCCTCGCGAGCTTCCACGTACACACTCCTCTGCCTCCGGGCCCCGCCCTCCGGGGAGAGCACATCCGGGTCGCTGAAGCAGGTGCCTCAGGTCCCGCCCCTTTCTCCCAAGTACTCGCCCCCACTTCCGGCCATCTCGGGCCTTTTCCGCCTGTGCTCTGCCGGCTCTATCTCTGCTCCCTGGCCGTTCTCCGCCCCGGGCCGGCCCGCTCAGCACCCTTCGCCCGCCCCGGCGGCTCGCTCGGCGTCCGGAATCTCTCCGAAGCTCGGGGCTACTGTGCCGCGCGTCTTCGCTGTGCGGCCCGGCCTGAGGCCTGCCGCGCGCGGTGAGTCCGTGCAGACCTGACCGGCGTCTCCCGGCTGCTCAGTGGAGGCCGCCGCCGCCTCGGGATGTCGCGACCCGGGTCCGGGCAGCGCTGGGTGGGCCGTTGGGGCTGCGGGCTGCTCGCGCTGCTGTTGCTGTTACTGCCGGGGCCGAGTGGCACCTCTGAGATCACCTTCGAGCTGCCCGACAACGCCAAGCAGTGCTTCTACGAGGACATCACGCAGGGGACAAAGTGCACCCTCGAGTTCCAGGTACGGGGCACCCGCCAGTCCTGGGGTCCCAGGTCGCGGGGGCGGGATCGGGATCGCTACCTCCCGTAGTGGTTCTCCATCCTTTGGCCGGCTCGGCAGTTGGTTATCGGTCGCTGGATCTGGGCACCTGGCGTTTCTCTGCTAACCCTTGGGCCACCGAAGTGGGGGCTGTTATGACATACGAATTCCAGAAGTGCTTCTCGTAGCTGTGACATACCTTCCGTTCTCTGATGTCCGTCGTTGTAAGCCTGGGAGCTTTCTCCCTTCCAACGCCCTCCTTTTCGAAGAGTTATTCTGTTGTTTCAGTCCCGGGCTGATTCACACCTCCACTTTAATCCGATCTGAAGCGTCGCCATCCCTCACTCCTTTACTTGGAAGAGCCGCTGGGAGAGGCTGGATAGCCATGGGCTAGAGGTGTGGAAAGAATTGTTGTGGCAATTGAGAGGCCGCTTTGCATTTCTGGGATTAGAGGTCTAAAGAAACTTTTATTTAACAGAATGGACCTGCTAAAGCCTGTTCCCAGCAGATCTAGTTTGCTGGGCAACGCTCATATTTGAGCAGCATGTGTTGCGTTTTGTAGGTACTGGTGTTTATAGAGGAGATGAAAAGAGAGCTGTCGTGGTCACTCTGGATTCCCTACCCACCTCACCCTTCTTTACTTAATGGGTGCTTGCTCATTCATTGTGCATTAGGAACAGAAAATGGGATACACCATCTGGTATTTTGAATCGATGAAAACTTGCTTTAAGAAGTGGTTTTAAGTTGAAATGTTTACTTTGGTAAGGGGCGTCTGTTGTCAGAGTGACTGAATTGTTATATAAGCTTGAGGATCGTGGAAAGGATCATTGGGAATAGGAGCCAGCAGAAGAGAGGTCAGCTGGGGGCATCCCATAGCACCTTCCTGCCCATGTTAAGGATTTTTTTTTCTTCGAAGACGATTGAAAGCCATCAGAGTTGTGAGGAATGCAGTGACTGATTTGAGTGTTCTTGATAGTTGAATGGTTGTTAACACGTCAGGTAGGGGAGATATTGGAGTCTTGCAGAGTGGAGTGTGAGGTCTGCCTGACTAGGCGGCTATAGTCATGGTCCAGGCCTAGACTAGGGTGGTAGCAGTTGGGGAAGGACCAGAGAGAAAGATAGTGGTAAACTCAGGGCTTGGTGATGACTTGGCTATAGTGAATGATGGGGGGAGACGAGGGATGGCACGTAGGCTTCACGGATTAGGACAAGTGACAGAAAAGATCGCAGAGACTGTCCACCAGAATTTTACTTGTTTGAATTTAGTAAACATTTTAAATGTCCAGACATGGTGTTTGGTGCTTTACCTGAGAATGCTGTGACTTCAGTCTTCATGGGCCAAAAAAAAAAGTAGCACCTATGATGAAGCAGACAGTATACTAAACGTTTTAGGTGTGCTACTTAATATTTAGGACATCTAGATATGAAATAGGCCGTGTTTTCACTATTTTACTGATGAAGAAACAGGCTTAAATAGTGTGAGACCCCAGATCGCAACCTTTAGCCAAAAGTAGGGTCAGTATGCAGTCCCAGGTTAAATTCTGTTATCCTACATCCCCAGGTAATCCTTCCATGTGCTGACCTTATATGTAGAGTCATACAATGTTCAATGCACAGTGAAATCCACGCTAGGAGTCATGGTAGGCAGAGTGGGAAACATCATCGGGGAAATTCAGCCAAGTCCCAACTAAGTCTAGAAGATTAACAGGATGAGTCTACCAGGTGGCAGAGGGGAAAGGACACCCTGGGCCTTTCTGTTACATTTGTGAGGCTCAATTTTTAAAAAGATTTATCTTTATTTATTAATGCAAAGCAGAACTGGGGTACCTGCCAGAGGTGTGGGGATGGTGAGAGGATTGCCCAGAGACAGAGTAGGGTGCAGAACAGACAGATCTACTGAAATACACTGCTGAGGGGAAGCGGTGGGTGGGACAGGAGAGATCAGCTGCGCCATGTGGTTCACCTCCCTGGTCAGGTGTCCAACTCATGCAGTAGTGGCTGCTGATAGTTTGATAGTGCTGAGGCAACCCATTGCGCCATCAGGGAGGCAGGCCTTTGCGAGACTTAATTTCAGCAGAACCTGAAATTAGGTTGAGCCGGCACTGAAATATACTTAGTAATAGTTTTGCTCTGTAACTGTGGGTCCCAGGACTTTAAGAACAGTTCATACCAGTTATTCAGCAATGTTTATTGATAACAATGATATTGACAATTTGTACCTGGTAATGGTGACGTCCTCCTTCCCCCAGGCCTCTGCTGTTGAGACTGGCTATATAACCAGGCATGTGTGGCAGGCCTAATGAAACCAGGCCAAGACTATCTTTTGTATATCCTGGTTGGAAGGTGTTACTTGCACAGTTGGTGGGAGGTGGGAGATCTGAGGATATATGTGCCCGCAGCCCTCAGAACAAGGGCAAAGGAGCTCACACCTGACTTGGGATCTCTTGCTGTGAGATAGCTTTTGGCTATGATATTTGTGTTGTATTCTTTTCTTGTAATGAAAATTTGCATTCTCATTTTGGGTCCTGTAATTCTTATTTAGCAAACAAGTCCTCTTTAGCTTACCAGTGTTAATTGCAAATAGAAAGTAGACTTGTTCAGAGTACTTCTGGCATTTTGAAACAGTTTTGTTGTTGTTTTTTTTTTTTTTTTGAAGAAGGGTGTAAAGAGGTGCAGAGGATACTTTGAGGCCATACAGGAGAGTGGTATGTCATTGTCAACAGGCTTGGGGTTTTCTGTAGACCATGGGAAATGATCACAGACTTTCACGTGAACACTCAGTGGGGAAGGCTAGGATGGTGGCCCTCCCAGGAGATTGCTGGGAACTGGTTTCTAGTGGGTAAAGTCTAGAGATGCTGCTCAACAGGCTGCAGTGCCCAGGCGGTACAACTCCCACAGCAAGGAGTGCTCCAGCCCCAAATGATGTAACAAGCGACGTTGAGAAACCCTGGATCAGAGGATGCAGGGCGACGCTGTATGAGTTTGTAGCAGTAGTACTGTCTGCATTGTGGATTAGGAATAGAAAAGGGAACAGTTTGACAGAGGCAACCAGATCAAGAGATTGCTGTTACTAGCTGGACAGGTAGGTTCACTTAATTTGGGATGATCCTGTTGCTATTTTATCAGACCAGATAGGCTGTAGAAGAGGTGCTTTTATCTTTGATAAGATTGCTTATTTTAAATTTTGATGGAAGAAAAGAATATGAAAATCGGTTTGATCCTATCCAACTTGTGTGTATTATCTTCGATGATTCAAAGCACAAAGGTCAAGTGTGAATAATTGAATATATAAAAATGAAATCGTTATTTCCCCCTGGAGGAAAGGTGTTTGATTTGGCAGGGGCAAAGTAAATGCCCAGTTGCTAAGATAGTATTTATGTCAAAGCATATCTGTATATGAACATTTGCATATTTGTATGGGTTCTCAAATGCCTAATTATATTTCATTTAATTATTAAATGACCATGTAACATCATCACATCTCTTAAGATATATCTTAAGTGACAGAAGGTCTCATAATTAATTCATTTTTCTTTGAAGTTCAGAGATTGACTTCTCTGTTTTGTAGATTTGGAATGTTAATGTCATGCTAATCTAGAGGCCTCAAACTTGAAAATACTGTCTTGAGCCACCCACTCTCGTGGTGGTTGGGGTCCTTCAAACCCAGTGTCTCTTCCTCATCTCTTTCTCAAGTGGTGGGTGCACACAACCTGTTTCTTTTCCTGTCTTTGTTCCCTCTTTATTCGCACTCATCTTGTTTGTGTAAAGAGACCTTTCTCCTCTTTAATCTTTTTCTTTGCTGTTATACATGTCCAGTTGCCTCAAAAGAAATCTCATCATTCTCCACCTGAATGATCCCTCTTGTAGCTGATTAAGCTTAAGCCCTTGAATAGTGCCCAGATCCTTAGAAGCATTTCACCTACTTCTGGCCTCCCTTTCAGTATGCTTACTCTCCTTCCAGAAGCTTTCCAGGTAAACTGGATTGGTTTGCTGTTATGGTTTTGCTTGAATCACGAGTGTTTGAACAGTGTAGTTTAATTATTGAAGGTAGTCTCTTAAGAACAGCCCAGGAATCTTTTCAACTCATAACGTAGTTCAAAAACAAAAATAACATCAAATTTCATATATAGCTGACCTATAAAGAACCTAAGAAGCACAACCTCCCTATGACTTGGCATTAAAATGGGTATCAGTTTTATGATAGGGATGTTGTGCTAAGCACTACCTCTTCTTACTGTTGCTCTACATCACTCTTGTGTGTGCTTGGGTGGTGCTGGGGGGAACCTGGGTGAGAGACTTTTGCAGGGGAAGTTATATGGCAGGAAGCTTAGGGGGCAGGAATCTCTCTTGGGTTTGGAGTTCAAGTTTTGCCTTGGGTCGGGTACTTAGGCAGTTTCTCAGTTTGTCAAATGGAAGGAAAAAACCTTCCTCATAGTGTTTTTGGGAGCATTACATGACCTGAGAGATTAACTAGTACCGTTGTCTGACTTGTTGGTTCCCTTTCGCCTATCATGAGGAAATTCATTCACTTTGCATAAAACTTTAGTCGAACTGAAATCTGTCCCCAACTTCCAACCACTGGTAGACATCTAAAAATAGATCATAGTAAAAGTCCTATAAGCTTACTGCTATTTTAACAGGATACCTGGATAATTGCTCAAACTTGTTAGTTGCAGTGATCTCTCTATTTTTTTTTTATAGGTTATTACTGGTGGTCACTATGATGTAGATTGTCGATTAGAAGATCCTGATGGTAACATGTTATACAAAGAGATGAAGAAACAGTATGATAGTTTTACCTTTACAGCCTCCAAAAATGGGACGTACAAATTTTGCTTCAGCAATGAATTTTCGACTTTCACACATAAAACTGTATACTTTGATTTTCAAGTTGGAGAAGACCCACCTTTGTTTCCTAGTGAAAACCGAGTCAGTGCTCTTACCCAGGTAAATGAAAAGTCAGCACTATCGCGTTGGTATGTTTAGAAAATAAGAAGCCTAATTTGCGGTGCATTATAACTCACTAATGAGCATAGAATACTGAGAGTTGTACACAATCTTTAAGACCTAAAAGTTCTGATAATAAATTAAGGATTTCACAGAAAAATTGAGACTTTTTAGTGAAGACCAATGTTAGACATTTAGACCATTTTAGTCTAAATAAGAAATAATAAAGTAATAGAATCAATTAAGTAGAAGCATGAATGGCAAAGGAAATTCAAGAAGATGAAAAAGAATATTCTTTTCTGTAATTCATGGGGAAACAATGTTACCAGACCTTAGAAGGTTGGTATAAATGGGAACAAAATGATAATGTTAATTAAAATGTAAATATCCCAGCATAACTTTATACCAGTTTTTTTTGTTACACAAGCTATATTTAAAGTAATTTTTGCTGTAACTTAGGTACAGTATTAAGGATTAGTGGTAACTAATCTAACAAAAATAGTTAAGGGTTTATTTTGAGGATGAATTTAATTAAAGAAATAGTACAGAATTTAAAACAAACTGTTATTTCAGGTTCCATTTAAGTCTTTTGGCCAAAGTCATGTGGTGTTAGAGGCACTATTGAAGAATGTGTGCATCTTAATTCATAAATCAATTCTAAGCATTAAGAAGATGTGTTCAAATATTCTCATTTTTAGAAATACTCTTTATTTTAATATCCTTTATGAAAGGCATTTTGCTTTGGAAAAAGATTTTTCTTTTTGGCCTTGTAATGCTTCATGAATTTTAATTTGTATAAGGTCATAGCTTGCTTTAGAGTAGGCGATTGTAAGAAGTCAGTGGCTAAAGCAGATAGTACCGCTAAACCTTCCTTGCTTTATCTTACTTTAATTTTATTTTTCTACTTTGAAAAAAACTACCAACTAGTAAACACAGAATAAAATCATAGTTTTTCTAAATCACAGCTAATCAAATGACAGATCTAGAATGGGCAGTTACTACCCATCACTGCTGAAACCACTGGTAGAATGGGTGATGAGAAACTTGACAGTGAATGGGTAAGACTTGAGATTATCTGATTCCAATGATCATTCACACATGGAGAGAAAACTGGACTTTATGTTTATAGTAATACCTGAACGTATAGTAATATGTGATAACATCCCCATGAGGTTTCCCCCACCCCCACCCCCGAACATGACATCTGAATCCCATGGAGTCTGTGGCTCCAATTGCCATTTTGTTAGAGGAGAGCTTACCACCAGCAAAATCTCAGAAGTAGGAAATGCTAGAGGACAGAAGAACAAACCTAAAGATTAAAGACCTAAAGAGATTTCAGCCAAGTAAATGTGTTGACCTTGTTTGGATTCTGATTTGAAGGCATCTTTTAAGACATTTCAGGAAGTTTGAACATTAACTTTTTATTTAATGACTTGAAGGTAGTAATACATTACTATTTTGTGGATAAAGTGCTAGTAGGGTTATATTTTTTGAAGTGTTATCTTTGGGAAATAAAAACCAAAAATATCACTGAAATGATAAAACAGGATTTGCATTAGAATAATGGGGGCGGGGAAGGAAAATACAAAACTAGATTAACCAACTATGTGATGATAATTACGGACATGGGGGTTCTGTCCTTTATACTTGTGACTGTGTGGGACACTTCCACTTGAGAGTGGGAAGAAAAAGGGAAACCATACCACCTCAAAAACTGTATGACTCCATGCAAGTAGTCCCTTGATTTCTGTCATTTTTCTCTAACCTGGCAGTTCTGTAACCCATCATACTTAGACTTAAAGGGAATCCTTAAAAATTCTGATTGTGTCAAATCCTTGCTTCCATGCCTGGTTTCCAGAATGAGAACCCTTAGACCATATGTCATTCGGGAACACGGAGAAAGCTAGAGAGCACCTCTCTAGGCTTACCACAAGTTAGGATTTATTCCTTTTCACGCCGTTTTGCTCATCTCTCATTCCACTGGGCCTGAACAAAACAAGAACAGTAAAATATTTTGAGTTTTCTAATAGCTAATTTCAATTTTCACAATTTCTCACACTAGTTAAGAGAAATTAAGTTGAAGACTTTTATAATTCCTTTTATTCTTTTCTTTAGTAAAACTTCTTCAGATGTTTAAATTGTTTCTGATGCCTATACTACTCAATTAAAATTAATGTAAACTCATATTTGTCATAATGTTCTTTATACATGCTTTGTGATTAAAATAATTAACAACAGAGCATGTATTTTGCCACCAAACTTAAGTTTCTAGCATTAGAAAAATACTGGACTCTAATAGATAAAAAAGATTATAGACACTGATCCTTATCAAAGCAAATGCTTTTAAGAAGGGGAGGTGTCATCAGATGAACCTTTGAAAAGAAAAAGGGTCACCACAAGATGATTATGCAATGAAAATGAAACTTACACCCATTTTGAAACATATATATTGGCTTGGTCGACTGGTATGAAGAAAGTGACTTATTTAGCAAATTGGTAAATATTGTGAAAAAGAAAAAAGATCAGTTCCTACCCTGAACTGTCACTTTCAGGTTAAATAAGGACTAAGATAACGAACTAGCTCATCTCTTTTTATGCTAAATTTGATATCTTTTTAAATGAATTTGGTTTGATTTACATTCTTAATTATGATTGGTCAAACTTACTGACTACCCTTTTCTTTCTCCTACTTCTCCCTGTTTAAGGACTTGACATTCTATAGCCAGTTACGGATTTGGAGGACCCTTAGCTTACTGTTCACCTGTACCTTACGGACGCCAGGCTGGGACATGTAGTTTGTGGCTTTGCTAACCTCAGTCAGTTTTCTGGTGGGAGTGAAGAAGGGGTTGAGCCCCGGTGTAACTTGGGTGAATGAGTTGGTGCCAGTTTCGTAAAGGGTTAATCTATTAAGTTTAATCGAGATTAAGTTGAAAGAGGAATATGCTGGTGGGTTACACAGGAAATACTCATATATTAACTAAAAATATATCTCTTTAGATGGAATCTGCCTGTGTTTCAATTCATGAAGCTCTGAAATCTGTCATCGACTATCAGACTCATTTCCGTTTGAGGGAAGCTCAAGGCCGAAGCCGAGCGGAGGATCTAAACACGAGAGTGGCCTACTGGTCGGTGGGAGAAGCTGTCATTCTGCTGGTGGTTAGCATAGGGCAGGTATTCCTTCTGAAAAGCTTCTTCTCCGATAAAAGAACCACCACAACTCGTGTTGGATCCTAACTGCCTTTTGAGAGTTGATCACCATGGCCACTGTAATATTGCTGTCCTCTAATTTTAGGTACCGAAGAACTTAATATTGGCGACATTTTTAAAATCGTACCCATACACTTGTTGGGGGGAAAGGGAGGATAAACACTGCATATCTCCAAACTGTGGAAAGGACATCTTTTTTATTTGTAAAGGTAGAAAAACTTCGGAGCTTATTTTGGGCTATTCATGTTAAATATTCAGCACCAATGATCTACTCTTTTCTTAGTTGTTTATATCTACTCTTTGCACACTAAACTTTGGTATTTGATTCCTTTTAGTCATTTTAAAGTACTTTTGTTATGGGTAGTGGATATTTTAAAAACCTTTGATTTAATGTCTATAAGTGTTGTGGAGGAAGAAAATTGCCTTTTCATTGTTTATAGTAAATAAAATTTTGTTTTTAAGAAAATCAAATGTGATTAACTGTAGCTTCAGCCCCATTCTGCACTCATTAATTTTATGGAGGTGGGGGAGAGGGGAGTGGGATTTACCACAGAAATGTTAGTTAATTTAAATTGGTACATCATGGTGTCATTTATTTCTCACTAACTTGGAAAATGTCAGGTTTTTGTGTTTTGGGTTCTGTGATTTCTAATCAGTTTTTTTCTTCATAAAAACATTCTCACCACACAGAAAATAATATATTTCAGTAACCAAGTAGGATTTATATAGGCCTTGAAAATCAGACTGTTGTAACAAGTAGCATAAGTACAGAGTAATGAAGATACTACAATTGGGGGCAAATGAAATGGGATAATGAGTGAGTGGTTTTATACACATTACTGTTTTACAAAGCAAGGTGGTCAACTGTTTCACTTTAATACTTAAATTGACTTGTTTTTCTGCCTGTCTGTGCGTTTAATGTCCTTCAGTCATTCCCAGCTTGAATTGGTAGTTGTAATAGTAGTATCATACAAGTGCCATGCATTTCATCCTGATCCATGTGAAAGATATACTGAGAAGTTAGTGGGATTTTTTTGAGGGGGTGTGGGGTGGAATGGGAGGATAGGGGCTGTTTTCAGTTTTTTATCTTGTACATGTCATTTGTACACTCTCTGGTTAGCAGACTTCAAATGATTTAAAGTTCAGAATGCTCTATGTTGTTTTCTCTGATAATCTCCACTGATTGAACTACATTTAATGAATACTAAACAGTGCACATTCTGTATACTATAGGGTTTAGACTGTGTTTGTGTTTTGTAACTGATACAGAGTGAGCTGACCGAAATAAGATTTTGTTGCACTTATTCTAGAATAGAATACAAATGATACAAAATTGTAAAGGTATTTAAAGCTTTTCCACTGTTTTAAAAAATGCAACTGCTTTTTGCCATGCCTCTCTTCCCCAACCAGAAGTGATAAGTACTGTATCAGACTGTCCTTCCCCTTGTAGACGTTGGTATGTGGTACCGCAGAATACTGATTGGATAGCAATTCTAGCCACTTACCACTACTGACCAGAAGTTAATTCTTAATTCTAAACTGTCTTGAAAGTGCATTTATACACTGCTGCATGTAAGGCAAAACGAATTCAAGTTGTAATGCTTGCTGATTTCAGTGCCACCGTCTAGCATGGGATGAAAATGTTTTCAGCCCTTTAACTCTAAAAATCTTGAAGACCAAATAGCTACTACTTACTATTTGTCAAAAGATTGAGAACTGAAGTTTAAGATTTTGCAGATTCATCTGAGTTCTTGCATTGGAATTGTCCTGCAGCTTTGTAAGTGTCCCTTTGTATTTCAATTTGAAAATTTTAAACATTAGTGTTAACATGACCTATAAGCATGGACGTATGTAAAATCTTCCATTATTTCTAGTTGACTGTCTGCTCTGTTGTGTTCAGAATCTTACTCTATAATTAAGCAGATTCAGATATCAGTTGCCATGTTTGGCATAGTTAATGCAACTATTTAATTTCTGCCTAGCAAAACTGCAGTTAGACTGTTAACATAAATAACTTTTGATCAAGCTATTGAGATATATTAAAACTTTTGAAATTGCCATTGTTACCTGTTGTGGACAATAGTGCACACTCAATCTTGTCCATGTGTAACATTTTTAAGTTTGACAGACTTAACTAGATATGTGTATATTAATTAGAAAATACGTAACTATCCACATGTAAATGTTAAATATGGCCATTTTTTTTCTCTTCCTCCTGCTATATAATGTATAGGTCATTTTTTTTTCTTTAATCCTTTCATAAGTTGTTGCAACAGTTTGAATTTCCCAAGTGTTTATGTTTAGACATACAGCTCAGTGCATATATTTAAACATCATTAGCTGTATATATTTTTAAAGTAGAATAAATAATGGAAAGAAACTTAATATACAGGTTTATACTAAAATTTCAACTGTGTGAAGATACATTTTAAGATATTACTTTGCTAATAATAATCTAAACATTCTTTTTCTATTAAAGAAACAAATGGTTTGTGGTTCACAACTTTCTTCCCTGGCTTGATAAATAACTTTGGAAATACAATGGACTGAAAATAATTTTTCTCTTTGAAAGATTTCATTTCAATGTCTGTGCTATCCATTTTTGCTTCGGTTTGTAAATGTGTGACATTTATAATTAAATAGGACAAAAAGGCCCTGTGACTATTGTTTTAAAAAATTAAACAAATTAATATATATTCAAAGGGGGTTTTCATTTACTTTTTAAAGAAATAGAAACTTCTCTAAATTAAGCAAATGTTGGTTCTGCAGGATTGCCTTAGTCAATACTTGTAGAATAAAATCTTTCAACAAACTGACTTTACTTGTTTCTATGGGATTTAAATCTTTTTTGAAGTTCTTTGTGAACTTGAATCTTAGAATACAGTTTTGTAGCAAGAGTGTAACTACTTATTTGGCATTTCACTGAAACATCTTAGGGACTAGTCAAGAAAGACCTCCTCATTTGTAACCTTTTTTGCATTTCTTACTGGTCTAAGTAAAAGACCTTAAGCTCTCAGCTCACTAAAATCTTTGTTTTTAAATATATGATCCTTAGATTGTCTTGTATACCAAATTTGCCTCAATTTTTTCTTTTCTCTTCATAATGCCACTATAGTGGACACAATTCTACAAAAGTAGCAGAGAAGTAACAGGAAATACCTCTTAACAATCATTGAGCTATTACCTGGTGCTAACTGCTGTGATAAACATTTTACTTGCATTGATACATTTCATCTTTGTAATAATAATCCCTGGCACTAAGGATATGATTCTCATTTTAAAAATGAAATTTCACAGTTCAACTTGAAACCACAATTACTTACATCACAGTTAGTAATTAGAGTCTGCATATGAACATGAACCATCAGTCTGGCTTTAGAACCCTCTTAACCACTGTGCAGTATTGCTTCAGAAACACTAAGAATTGATCTGTAAAGACTTAGCTCTCTTGGTTTCAGTACAGCCCATACAGTGGTCTGGCGCTTTGGCTTTGGATCATAGCCAAGTTCAAGTCATCATTGTATGCTCTCACACAAATGATTTAAAACAACTGTATTTCTGTTCATCTATAACCAAGGTAGTATCTGTAATTCTGTAATACATTTTATCAAGCATTAGGATCAGTGCATATTATATAAAAGAGTTATTAACATGACGGTGTTTTTATCATCAGTTTAGTTCCAGTCTCTTGATCTTTCTTTTGCTTGATAAAGTTCTCACGGTTCTTATGTATTAGGTAACACAGATACAGATGTGAGATTCTGCAAGAAGTTTCAAAAGTGAGTAAGCTAGTTTGATCCCAGGAACATCGCTTCATGGGGGAGAGAAGAATGAATGAATGATGGCTGGAAGTGGACTTGAAGGGTCTCAGACACTGAAGGGTGCTGGACAATACTAAGGTGAAACGAGTTCTCCTCCAAGGGGTTTAATTTTGTCTTCCTCACAATCATCTATACCAGCAGTTGAGTGATTCAGGGACATGGCGTCCCTGTAGCTCCAGATCAAAAAGTATGTTCTTTAACTTTGTTAATAAAAGAGGTGATGTTTGATCTCCTGACTTGACTTCTCTGTCTCAGTTGTCTTGGATTCTGGAGGAAAATACCAGCTGTTGTTGAGACGGCACCAAGTGTGCTGTTTTTCAGTTGACATCTCGAGACCGTTAAGAATGGTTAACACTCTTCTGGCTGAATCTTTATCTAGTGCTGGTACTTACTAATTATGGCTGCTGTCTTAAAAAGAAAAGGCAGCACGTAAGAATTTGAGAAATAATGACTAGAGAGTAAAATATACCTGAGGGATAATTCTACCATCCATTTTGGTGTATTTCGGTTATAGAGATATTTTTAAGAATTGATATTGCTTATAACAAAATCTTAAAATGACAGAATACTACAATGTGTATAATACAGTAGAAGTATTAAACGTACAATTTAAAGAAAAAAACTACAAAGTACACACTCACATCACCAATGCTCATTTTACAATTTTGCGGCTCCATGGAAGGCCCTGGTGTATCCGCCCCTGATCCTAACCCTGAATGGCCCTGCTAGAGGTAATTGATGTTCTGCTTATAATGGAGACCATTCTCTTGCTTTGTTTTCCTTTTTACCAGTTAGGTGTCCTAGTTCTCCAACTATTTTTCAATCTCCGAACCATTACACACTGATAAGCAAATACAGAATCACACCCTTACGCGTTCCTGGCAGTGTGGTGGCTGTCCACTTCTCGACGTGCTATCTGTGTGCTCACTCTGTCTGCATAGCACTACAGCCAGTTACGACTCAGTGAGGCTCCTGGATGCCACTTGCAATAGTTTTGATGTCTACATCCCTGTAAAGCTCTTTTAAAAAATCACGGGAAGGTGTTTTGGGTTTTTGGTTTTTGTTTTTTTGTATATCATTCAATAGAATGTTCAGAAAAAATACTACTTAGGTTCTTTTGTGACTTCAGTTCTTTAAAGAAATCACAGGAAGGTGATTTATTTTTTTTTACATATGGTTTAATAGAATGTTTCTAGTTAAGAAAAACACTACCTATGTTCTTTTTTTTTTTTTTTAAGATTTATTTATTTATTCATATAGAACTGGGGTACAGGCCAGAGATGCAGGGGGTGTGAGAGGCTTCACCAGAGACAGAGTGGGGAGCAGAACAGGCAGATTGACGAAGTACACTGCTGAGGGGAGCAGCGGGCGGGTCAGGAGAGGTCTGCCTCGCCATGTGGACTCCTCCGGGGCAGGCGGGAATCGAACTCATGAGGAAGTGGCTTAAGCTTCTTAGTGCAGTGCTTTAACCCGCTGCGCCACCAGGGAGGGCCCAAAACAATACCTATGTTCTTTTATGACAGGTTTTGCAGTCACCACTGTTGATGCCTCTACCCTTAGATGGCTTTTGCTATGCACTAGTCCATCCAGAATTCACTGGCTATGTCTCTTCTACTTGCTCTTAGATGCAAAGCCACTGACTTCTCATCTGTATATCCTGTTGCACGTACCTGTGATCTCTTGAGAATATATCTAGGAGTGGAACTGCTTGCTCACAGAGGATGTCTCCATCTTTACTAGGTAGCATCTAAGTGTTCTACAGAAATTGTGTCGGTGCGTTCACCAGCCGATGAAAGCACTTGGTATCTCCCATATTGGCAGCTTTTCTGCACATCTCCTGGGTTTTTAATAATTGTAAAGGCAACACTTAATTTGAGGAGTAATAGTTGAAAAAATTAAATCCATCCATCACTCACCCTGCCATCCATTTTGATGTGTTTTTTATAGGTACATGTATATTTTAAAGAAATTGCTATTTTTACCTCATTGCACAATGTGCATTTCCATGAGGTTGTTTTTATCTCCTGGGTTTCTTAGCCACGTGTATTGCCTGTTTTGTGAGGCCTCTGTTCAAGTCATTTGCCCGTTTTTTAAAACTTTCCTCTCTGCTTCTAGTGAAATATGTCTTTTCCTGTACTATATGTCTTTATTTTCATGTGAGCTTCATCCCAAGCTCATATTTTTCCTGTAGTAGGTTCTAAAATATGCATAACTTCTATTGAGTTTAATTTTGTGTATGAGAAGAAGTAAGTTAATCACCAGGATTTTAAAGTGTTTTAAATTTCTTGAAAATGTATTTTTTCTGGTTTACCATGCCAGCTTTGTCATCTGTTAAATGCCCATATTTCTGGCTCTCTTCTAATGCATTTATCACTTTGTGCATACATCAGTACTTTGCTATCTTAATTGGTAAAGCATTTTAAACACTTGATATTTGATAAAGTATAAGAGAGAAAAATGTCTACATATCTTGTTCTTCAAGATTTTCGCTGTTCATATTTCTGCATTTTTATACAGATGTTAGAATTGGCATAATCTGGGTTATCCTCAGTGATAATTAGCAGCATCTATCAGCTTTGGTTTCTGATGAGTGCTTTTAAGCCTGGAAATTCTAATTATATTTTAGCTGTTTCCCACAAGTTTTGATATATAATATTTTTGACTAACATTCAGATCATAATATTTTGTGACTTCAATTATTGTTGAACACTTTCTAAACATTTCCAAATGTGGCTCTTGATTTCTGTATATACTGGAGTTTTTTCCAGTTAACATTTCATCTTCAGTTTTCAGACTAAAACCTGGGTGGTCAGAACAGATTCTATATTTTCAGTCTTTTTGATTTGTTTTGATTTTGGCCAAGAAGAAGGTCTAATTTTGTAAAATGTATGATTTTGTTAGTTTTCTATGCCTATTTTAAAGGCTTATGTATTCTGAGATTGTATCAGTCTACATAATTATATAGGTCAGTTCAGTCAAGTTCTTTCATCATCGTTCATTATAGTCCATATTCCTGCTGATTTATGTGTAACCTGCAGGGCGCAGGTACGATGTCCAGGGGAACTGTAGAGAGTACAGAAGGCCAAGACCTTAATAACACCAGCATTTTTTTAAATATTTATTTATTCATATGGAACTGGGGTACAAGCCAGAGATATGGAGGGTGAGAGACTTCACCAGAGACAAAAGTGGGAAGCAGAACAGGCAGATTGACGAAGTACACTGCTGAGGGGAGCAGCGGGCGGGTCAGGAGAGGTCTGCCGCGCCATGTGGATCTCCTCCTCCGGGGCAGGTGCTGTGCTTTAACCCGCTGTGCCACCAGGGAGGGCCAACACCAGCATTTAATGGCAAGAATTTGGGAGGTATGAGGCCACAGGGAAAGCATTTCATGTCAAGTTTTCTTACTGATCCATTACTTCTCCCCTTACTGCTTATTTAATCCACTTATTTCATTATCAATTAATGGATTTAAAGTTGTCTTGTTTGTACATGTTTTGCCTTTATCCACAGAGGAAAGAGGCCATGTCTCATTGACATTGTATCCCTAGTGCCTGGCACATAAAAGACACTATTTGTGGCATAAGTGCATTTTTCTTGTAGTGTATACATGATAATTTGGGACTTAACACTAGTAATCCGCATAAAATATTTTCATAGCACAATGTGAATATGAAAAAAGGGCAACTAACTTTTGGAGCATAAAGTGGAACAATTCAAATAAATATGTTCATATGTGGTAGGCGATGAATGGGGAAATAAATGGTTTTTGTCACTTGTAATTAGTGGTATTTTAATGCAAAAATTTGAAAAGCTCTAATTGGAAGAACTGTCAGAGAACAGCCAGAGGAGATTGAAAGATTTAAGAAGTAGAATGA